ATCGTATAGTGAAACGTGTACAGCATTTTTGCGTTGTGAAAAAAATGCATCCCGGGACCGCGCCGTGAGAGGATCGAAAACATAAACATATACAAGATATAAAGGAAAAGTTCATATTAAATATATAAAGAAAACATACTATAAGAGGTTCCAGATTAAATATCGGTTTATTCAATTACATCACAATAAGAAAAATCTTAACCTCATCTGAGAGTCTTTTCATTTAAATTCATAAAAAAAAACTTAAGGTTGTCTGGTAAATTAAAGAAAGGAAAGGGAAACAATTTATGGCCTGAGAGTTAAATTTTAGATTCGACGTTGTTTTTACTGCTAAGGACGTTTTTGAAAAAACTTGCCTAAAGTTCCAACACACCAAAAAAAAATAATACTTATCTTGAGTGGACATCTTGAAGTGGAGGAGAGCTCATATCTTAGCTCTATCCTTACGTCACTTGGCAAATCCGCAAGCCAGAGACTCGAACGGCACGACAATACATTACATCAGCTATACCGTCAAATCTTACGCCTGCTACTGGTTTCCATAGAAGAAAATTATTCCCACTGGAAGCAAGAGAACAGCTTACACTGCACGGCTGTCTGCCTAGACTCTCAGCTCCACCAAGGAAAACGTAGACAATTAAGCTAGGCATTTTAGAGAACGGCTAACGCAGGCTTCCAGTTGACTAAGGTGACATAATTCCTTCTGTTTTTCAAGTCGGAGTTCAGAGGACATCGTCCTGACTTTTGCCGATACAGATAGAGACCCAAGTCTCTGTTAATTTTTTTGTTTATTCGCTCAAACAGTTTTTTTTTCTTCGCATTTTTGAGAAAAACCCGCGGCCGGGGAGCATAATTGCCGCTCCCCGCCGGAAGCACTGCTCGATGCCGACTAAATCTTTTCCTTTCTCCTTCGCAACTCCCACAAGTTTTTCTCAGTCTCCGTCAACAAGTCCGTCAAGCCCGAAAGTCAGCGAATCCAAGCAGTGAGTGCCTAAGCGAGTCAAGAGTAAGTGTGTCTCGCCTCTTAACCAAACGCGGCCGGGGAGCATATTTGCCGCTCCCCGCCGGAAAACATCCCGCTTCGTAATTACATTTTGTCCAGCAAGCCCGAAAATCAGCGAGTCAGTCAGCGAGTGCCTAAGCGAGTCCAGAGTAAGTGTGTCTCGCCTCTTAACCAAACGCGGCCGGGGAGCATATTTGCCGCTCCCCGCCGGAAAACATTTCTCGTCGTAATTACATTTTTGTCCAGCAAGCCCGAAAATCAGCGAGTCAGTCAGAGAGTGCCTAAGCGAGTCCAGAGTAAGTCTGTCCTCTTAACCAAAAGGCGGCCGGGGAGCCTATTTGCCGCTCCCCACCGGAAAACATTTCTCGTCGTAATTACATTTTTGTCCAGCAAGCCCGAAAATCAGCGAGTCAGTCAGAGAGTCAGCCAAAAGTAAGTGTGTATCCAACTCGAATTTCCTTCGTCTCCTTCCCAAAACGGGCTCCCACTATGGCTTCACTTATCGCCCCCTTAATTATGGACAAAATCTTGCGTTTTCAACTCCAGAATGCGGAAAAAAAAAAAAGGTGATCGCGCATGCGCGCCCTTCTTCACTTAGCCAACAACCGGACCCTCAATCGCGAAAACCTGAATGACTTACATTGAAAGACAAGTAGCAAACCTTTGACCTTTCCGTCACGTACTTTCCTCTCTTAAGGTCAACTAACAATGAAAATTCTTTCTCGAACATTCTAAAGCGCGCGAAATCATGACTTGGCGAAAATTGCCTCCCTTTCCCTGCTTCTTTCACAATGAATAAAAGTTTGTACAAGATTTACAAATAGAAAGAAAATAAATAATACTTCTTTTAAACTAAATAATATTTCCCGAAGCATCTGTTTTTTCCCCAAAATTAAAGCCTTAAATTAAATAATTCAGAATCAAAATAAAATTTAAATTTCCATAAATCATAAAATCATTCACCTAATTTTTATAACGCTATCCGGTAATTTCTCTACATAACATTTACATGAATTGCAGGAGTTGCTATCAACATAAGCTTGTTCGCAAATGAGGCTAAAGGAAATACAACTCATCAATACTTCCTATTACTTTGGCTCTACAAAATCTTTCATATAATTTTCGGTCTGAAAATGGGATCTTGAATTCCGCTTTGATGTTAACATTCCATAAATTCCTTCCTTTGAAGAGCAGTAGAACCTCAAGTGTCTGGGCAAACTGAAACTCCAGCCCAGATAAATATTTGAAAAACCAGACAAAAAAAAAAAAAAAACTTGCGATTTTTGTATTTATTTATTTTCATGCAGGAGGAGGAATTTTAATTTTTTACCACTTTTTATTTTAACAAATAATTCTAGAGAAAAAAATATAAAATATTTTTATACCTGTAAAATGATATTTAAAGTATATTCTTCTGGTGACAAAAACTATGCATTGAAATTATTTTTTGTTTCTCTTAGCACTAAACGAAAAGAATGGGATTACATTTTTATATAATTAGAACATAATTTCATGCTAATTATTTGGCCTTATTTATAGTAAATTAATCGAAGAAGATTTATTTTTCAGGGGGGGAGGGAATATATAAACTTAATTTATTTACCTAAAATTAAGCAAAGACGTTTTTTATTAACGAAGGAATATCTTCGTTCAGATTTAAGTTTTAAATTTGTACTTCAGGAAAACTTAGAATCACGAAAATAAATCAGCAAACTGAATTTTACTTAGCAAAATCCAGGTAACTGGATTTCTTTGTGCTTCTTATTATTGCTTTCAAACAATTTAATACAAATTTATTAACCGAATTAATAAAATATGAACTGGTTTTTCACGCAGTTATGTATTTCACGTACAGAATTTGGAATACTTTACACATGGTTAATAGAACCAAATGGTGCAAAATTATTTTAAAAACATTTAAAATTTCTTTTTAATCTTATTTAAATAGTTTTAAGAAGTAATTAAATACACTCATGTCCATAAATTAAGGATAATTCGGAGTCACGCGGAAATCGAACTCTAAAATAAATATATCACCTGTAAAATCACTACACACATCTTCAAGAATCATATGCAAATTTCAGGAAGTAACCAGATGACACCGATGGTACGTCACAATGACGAGAGTGTAAGATATAAGGAATACAGGCAAAGAAGAAAAATTGTTCGCAGGCGCTTTATAAGCATTTCAGTGGTATAACCGAATAGTTATGACACAAAGGACGCATTTGGATGATTTTTTACGTGGTAGAATTATCGGCCGTCTGGAATGTGGGCGTACCCATCTGGAAGTATCAGACGAACTTGGAATTGCCCAGAGTGTCATCTCCAGGCTTTGGAAACGATTCCAGGATGATGGTAATGTGAGTAGACGTTACAGCACAGGTCGCCCCAGAGTTACAACGCCGAATGAGGACCGGTATTTGGCAGTTACTGCCGAAAGAAACAGGCGGAGCACAGTCTCAGACCTGTCTCGTCAGCTCTCTTCAGCCACTGGTACGACAATTTCAAGGCAGACCGTGTACAGACGCTTAGGGCAGCTTGGTCTATATGCTCGTAGACCTGTCAGATGCTCCACTTACTGCAACTCACTGTCGCTTGCGGTTAGCCTGGAGTAGAGAGCAAGCATTGTGGACACCGCAACAGTGGGCTTGCGTGATGTTTTCCGACGAGTCCAGGTTTAGCTTGCAGTCTGATTCTCGCCGAACTTTCATATGGAGAGCTCCAGGTACCCGTTACCACCAAGAAATCCTCATTGAACGACACCGTTACAGTGGTGTTGGAGTGCTCGTTTGGGGTGGAATTATTCTGGGTTCCAGAACTGATCTGCATGTTCAAATTGGAACCATGACAAGCCAAATCTATCGGGACGTCATTCTGGAACAACATGTACGTTTGTTTCGGGGCGCCATGGGCGCACAATTTGTGTTTATGGATGACAACGCCCGTCCTCACCGTGCAAACATGGTAAGCGAATGCCTTCAATCGGAGGATATGTCTCGTATGGACTGGGCAGCATTCTCACAGGACTTGAATCCAGTAGAGCACGTGAGGGACATGCTTGGCCGACGAGTTGCAGCTCGTCAACCTCCTCCTACATGTCTACCGGAACTTCGGAGAGCATTGCTTTTTGAGTGGTGTAATATCCCCCAAGATCAGATCGATAACTTGATACTCAGCATGCCTAGGCGTTGTACGGACTGTATTGCATCGTCTGGGAGACATACAATGTATTAACAATCATACCAACCATGTAATATTTTTTTTTGTAAATAGGTTTTTTTTTTTTTTTTTTTTTTTTTTGTAACTTGCTCCAGGCAGAAAAAATCGCTAATTTTTTCAATAAGATCAAACATATAGCATCTTTCTTTGCTCTTTACCTTTTGTTTAATAAATAAGCTTTACAAATAAGTCAAATTTGTTTTTTTTTTTTTGCTTCTAACTCTTCCTTTGCCTGATTTTGCATTATCCTTAATTTATGGATATGAGTGTAGTTGAACAGAAATTTATATGGATAGAAAAATGGGTTCTTGGCGAAATTTTTAAGAAAATCCAAGTATTTATATTAAAGTTTCTATTTCTGAAATTAATCTTTTTTTTTCTGTTTTATGAGTTTTTATACTGACGAGAATCACTATGTAATCATGGAAAAACTTTTGCGTTTCGTAAAATAATTTCCTTAAATTAATGGTGCAATGTCTTAGCAGTTTTCCCATATGCACAGATTTTTTTAATATCATGTTCTCGGCTGGAATCTTGAGCGTTATAGTTCGAAGATTTCAAAGAACATAGAAGTCCAATTGAAAACCTCTGCATTAGTATTATCCCTCGAGTTGTTATGAAAAAAGATATTCACATAATTTTAGTATGTCAGCTAGGTTATTTTGCATGGCGGCGATTCAAGTTAATACTATATACTTTATGAAACAATTTCGTTGTTTTTAAAACGTTGTCCTTTACACGCTTAAATTGCTTAGAATATTCAACTTTTCCTTACTTTGTAGACGTTGTGTTTTTCAGTCAATTGGTCAAAGATGCTGTACATGGAGTTCAGCATGGACACCACCTGCATTGGAGTGATGCGGCTACAAATTTCGGTGAAGGTCACCACGTCACTGAAGAGGATGGTTACACTTTCGAAGAACTGCAAAAAATGAATTTACATTCATATTGCTAAAAATATTTCTTTGATGTAACAATAAATTTATAGTTCTAGTGCATCATTCTATAATTGTGCTTGTGCTTTTTATTATCTTAAGCGCTATTACTCAAGTACGCAGTAAAGCGAAATTTATAAACCAATATAAAATTTGTAAACTCGCATTTCACTATGTTACAGTTCTTTCTTGGAGCGAGCTTTATAATTTGTGAATCATTTATTTCTTTGGTTATTCAAATGGTTTTTGAGCCTGTATTAGCCACAGATGACTTGAACCATGGCCATCGAACCAGTGGACATATCATATGACTGCGGTAATAAACAGCAACTGGATGGCTTAATTGCTATAATAGGAAATATCGAAACTATCCGAAGAAAATAGCTAAAGATTCAGCCTTAACTTATACAACATAATCACGTAAAACATTTCGGAAACATTGATTCCTTCCGCAGTTATTAATATTAATAAAAAAATCGTAGTTAATCAAGTATAATCACTGTTGCTTTTAGTTTTCCAGATAACGCTATAAGATATTTCTCCGGCCTTTTTAGCATGTCTTCGTGGTATAATGGTCAGCATCCTCGGCGCGTATTCGAGAGGTCTGAGGTTAGAGTCCTGGTGAGTGCATTGCACATTTTTCATGTCTCCTGCTTCGAAATAACCTAATGTTTCTACAAAGCAAGAATGATAGCTATCGAAAGAAGATTCATAATTAAAGAATTCTTATTTTGTGAGATCAGAATAGCAGCAGTTGTTTTCTAATACAAAGAGGTTAGAATAGGTAGAATAAACATGACGTCACAAAAATGAAGCCAAGGAAATATCAACAAAGTTACGTCCCAACTTATCGTGATCACCATACAGCGTACGGATGAGACTACGAAGCATGTTGCTAAATAAAATTACACCGACTTGACGTTCGCAGGTTCAGAAAAAAAATTTTCCTAAAATACAATTGAAACTTCCACTGATCTTCTAGTATTTATTTGTATACTAGAAGATGTATTAGCCCAAAGGGACAATTTGCCCTGAAGGACTGTTAATTTCGTTTTGATATTTGGCGTCGAAACCCTTAAAAGGCTGTATCACATTGTGAAGCATGCAAGATTAAAAATTAGCAACTGCCTTCGCCGGTAATCGAACCACGGACCTCTGGAACACCGACCCAGCGTGCAGAACCACTACACCACGAAGGCACGCTAGGAAGGCGGGAGATATACCTTACAACTTTTCAAATCGTTGCCATCAAATATTATCGCCCTGTATTATATCTGAAGAAATTAAATAATGAAAAATTTGCATAAATTTAGGTATGTTTCTCGCATTGTGATAAAACGACAGTACCTAGAGCCATCCAGTTTTGAATGACGTAATCCTACTGCAAATATGGGTATTTGGAAGCCCAAATTTGAAATTTGGAATTTATTTTATTCCAAATTTCATGTTTTGTAAAACTTTAACGAATTTTTGTTTAACAAACCCAAGGATTTCAGAGCGAGCGATGGCAACGTTGTACAGAAAAACGGTTTTTATCTCCAGCGCGTGAGACTATGTATCGGAAATTCTAAAGATATGCTTAATTTAAAATTATTTTCCGATATTGCCCTTGAACTGAATTTTATTGTAAGGTATCCGACCTCGTTCGGGTACCATTTTTTTAAAAATGGTTTTTATTTTAACTATAAACACATTAATTTGAAGATAAGCATATTAATGAATGAGAACAGCTTAAAACGTAATGCTAAGTAATTTTAATTTTGAAAAATAATGAAAAAAAGGATAACTTTTGCTTAAATTTTGCCTTTACGGCAACAACCACGGTGAACAATGTGTATATAAATATGCAGTTTTTTTAATACGTATTTATGTTTACACTTGCTTTGTATGCAATGAAGCAAAATAATTAAGAAATATTCATATATTCTTGAGGGATATGTCAAAATGTATAGTATTTACTGTATATTTTCCTATTACTGCATCCAAAATCTAAAAATAAAAAGTAACAATTCAACTTCTAATTAATATTTCTAAAATCTTCCGCTTCAGAGCATGCATCTGATTATATGAAACATGCATAGAAAGTATCATTTAATTTTATGGATAAAATTTTGAGTTATAGCTGTTACCATTGGCAATATTTACAGAAAACACATTTTTCAGAAAACAAGTTTAAAGTTTTCATAAAACAATTTCTTGGGGAAAGAAGCATCCCTTAAAATTAAAATTGCCCTGCTTTGTAACTGAAACCTTGTTTTTTCTTCACACACTTTGCACTTTTTCTTTCGAATAAAGCGTAATTTTTTTCTTTGGGTTTTTGTAAAACTTGAATGCCGCCAAGAGTCATGATTTTGCACTTTATCCAAGTTTTCGAATTCCCTGCTCAGTGTAAAATTCAGAATACATACCTAACCTTGAAATGCTTCAAGCAAAACTATAAATCCATCATTAAATAACATTAAATAACACAACACTTACATTTGCTCCAAACATATGTTCGAAAGTTTATGAACGTTTCTTTCGGAACAACTCTCAGTCCGGTACTTGTTGACATTTATATGCACTATTTTGAGATGAAATTATTTGATAAATTATCTTTTCGTCTTTGGATTCGGTATGTTGACGACACTTTCGCACTTTTTGACGGTTATAAAGAGGATTTATCCGAGATTCTATCTATTATGAATTCAATTGGTCCAGCCATCCAATTCACTCTTGAAATTGAATCCAACAATTCCCTCCCTCGATATTCTTATAATCCGCAATGAAACCGATTTTAGCACCACTGTGTACCGTAAACCCTTTGCAGTTTGTTTACCAACCCCCCCATGCCAAGTCATGCCACCCTGTTAAGCAAAAAATGGCTTCTTTTTACTTTTTTTTTACTATTATGTTTTCCGCGCGCTAAAAGTTTTGTTCCTCTGAATCTTTGCTTACCAATGAACTTAATTATTTGAGAGCAGTTGCGATTGACCGTGGATTTTCTCCCGTGATTATTGATAAAGCCGTCAAAAAAATTTTCAGATTCCCATCAAAAAAAGACATTCCACTGTTAGAAAAAATAATATCAATGACCTTGTCGTGCTTCCATTTTATCCTTCTGTTAGCTATAAAATTGCACGGATTCTCCAGAAAGAAATTCAATTTTCAAGTCGGTTTCTCCCCTATTAATAAAAATTCACCCTTCGATTCTAAAAAGATTGCGTTTCTGTCTTTAATTCTTGGGGAATTTTATAGTATATCATGTCAGTGTGGTTTAAGATATATTGGCCAAACAAAAAGAGCGTTGAAGTTTCGTATATCAAGGAAACATGAATCTTATGTCAAAAAAAGGGGGAAAAATTAACAAGTCTTCAATAGCGTATCATAGCTGGACTTTTAACCATAATCTTGATTTTGGGTCTGCAAAAATCATCCAAAAGGCTTCTTCCCATAGGCGAATTGGATTTTCTTGAGGCTTTTTCACATTCACAAAGATTTAGAAAGTTTTAGTTAATGATTTGAAGTCCAATCCAGTCCTTCCTAATGCCTTTAAAATTCTACTGTCTTAATTCAATTATTTTTGCCGATAGATGGCGTTACCTCCTCGCACTTGGTACTACCAGAGGGTATAAAAATCCGTTCAGTGGTTGCTTTCCATTATTTGAAGTTCAGATTTTGAGCGTAATGTGCATTTGCCCCCTCGCTCCCTATTTTAACTTCGCTAATATTTCTCTATGCTTGATCAGACAGCCTGGCTCAGTAAAAGTAGGCGGCCAGTGCAACTCTGATTAAAAATCTAGTTATAACCACGTGCAGAGCTGATAAGCACCACATGTTTCTGTGATTCCTATTTTCTTCTTTCTATGTATTTCTTTCTCCTGATGAGGAGGGACCTTTAGCTGCCCTCGAAATCGATTGAGTGTTTCATTATACCTACGCTAAATATAAGGTTGTTTTTTACGATTTTGATTATCGCTAGATTCTTAAAATGTATTACAAAATATCTAAACTTAGTACGAAGGTTTATAATTTACAAAATCTCGATTATAGATAAGTAGATAAGGTTTCTAAATAGGTATATCTATTTAAACGCTCACTTCCGGCCCAGAATATTAGAACTTCCGGTTTATTCCGTTATAGAAAAATGCTTATAACTTCAGTTCTAATTAACCTATCAACAAGCAAAAACTTGTATTTGATAGCTAACGATGTATTCTTTAACATAATGAAATAAAGTAAAAATCGAAATTTTGACCGAAAATCGTCTTTTGTACGAGGTCGGATACCTTAGTGCGAAGAACAGGATATTTAATAAATAAAGGTAATGCACAAAATGTTAAGAAAACGCCCCTTTGGACGTAATTTAAAATATGAAACCTTTCAGATTTTCGTTTCTTGTATACTTGGCTCATAATTAGCATATACACATTTTCATGTACCTAAATTTTATTAAATTTGAAACAGTTATTTGCAATCTTTGGGACGTTTCTATATACTAAGTAGAAAATCATTTATGTTAAGTATTAAAATTAGAATAGGACACTTACAAACATTCACTGATGAGTAACTAACTCCGATTAGGATGTGAACAAAACCAACCAGAAGTCCGCATATGGTAGCGGCCATGATAAGTCTGACGTCATTTTCATCGCACGGGACATACGGATGAGGCCTACTCTTTATTCCAAACTGCTTTTTCTAATACAAACAAATAACTGTGAATGATTCGGTACTTAAAGCCAGGTGAGAATTTTGGAAATTTACTTCACTTGCAATATGTTGTAAATTACCAACATCATGACTTTTTTGGGTATTAAATTTCCAGTTTAACTCGAAGTGTCAGGAGATATCTAAAACGGATGTCTTATAATCTAATCAAAACAGTTTCACGTTACAGTATAATCTGCATAAGCTGAGCATCAATACACATCGACGAATACATCTTTACTGAATCTATATTGGTCTCTAATGTAATTTATGACGAAATTCTAATGTTATTATTTAT